CAAGGCCGAATGTCAGAAAGATGAAAAATTGAAATGTCGAAAAGTATAAATGCCAAAAACTCAAAAATGCTGAAAAATCTAAACACCCCAACATCAAAACGCTGAAAATACCAGTAGAAGATAGTGTCTAGCCGTAATTGAGCGTCCGCTGGCCTGCGCGCTTTCACCCTCTTTTCCAATAGCCATGAACTCCCTTCGCATATGAATCAAGCCTTCAAAAACAAAAGTATTCTCTTGTTCATTAAATTTCATACAGATAAATTGTGTGCAATGCTTTGCAGAAAACTTATAATGTCAACAATGTCCCGACCGAGGGTAGCTCCGTTGCCAAACCATCTTGGACGACCGATGTTTCGTCACTTCTGCGAGGATTAATCGCCAAGAGAGTGTGGCTATTGGAAACGAGAGTGACGGAAACTGTATGTTGCCAATATACGTTATCTTCCTCCATATATAGTTAGGCGATGGCGTCTTCGTGTTTCGGCAGTTTAACCTTTCGGTATTTTGAATTGCCGGCACCTTGGGTTTTCGGCATTTCATTTTTCCGTCGTCCTGGCGTTCGACCTTCTAATGATTCGGCGTCTTGATTTTCGACGTTTTCATAAGAACGCTAGCAGACGAATCGTCCTGTTCTTGACGAGGTACTTTTGCATAACGAAATGTTTGTGGTGGAACAGAGAACGAGGAAGAAAAACGAGAGAGAACAGGACAGGGAATTAGACTGGCTCCATTCATTCTAAGAGACGGGATTGAGCTGTTTCCCATGAAATATATGATCCTTGTCGCCTCTGCTGGCTGCCATGCATTTCCATCGGCACTGCCCAAATAGACAAAATATATCAGCGTACGACACAAACTCGACATCTGTGTACACGCCTTTAGATAGTGCACCCTTGATGGATATGTGGGGTTTAACGTCCCAAAACCACCATATGATTATGAGAGACACCGTAGTAGAGGGCTCCGGAAATTTCGACCACCTGGGGTTCTTTGACGTGCACCCAAATCTGAGCACACGGGCCTACAACATTTCCGCCTCCATCGGAAATGCAGCCGCCGCAGCCGGGAATCGAACCCGCGACCTGCGGGTCAGCAGCCGAGTACCTTAGTCACTAGACCCCCGCGGCGGGGCGATTGTGCACCTCGATGATATATAATAACGGCAGCAGCTTAAGTACGGAACGGCAAGTACGTAGACAACTAACATATATAATATTTCTTTCGCTTATACAACATCAATGAAAACCAACGGATAATAAGCCACGGAAGATACAGAGGATGCAAATCGTACTGTTTTAATGGCGTCGTAGTAATCGTGATATATACGCCAAAAAAGTATAATGTACGAAAACACCATTAAAAAGTTTTCCTTTAGTAGAAATCAGCCAGAGGAATTTTAAAAGAAGTTTATTCGTTTTTTTTTACGTTTGAATAGCGTTGACTACAATTCAGGGAAAGCCGTTCAATTCAAGCCCATTCTACATTTCTTGGATTCGCCTGTTCGTTTTCATTGAATAAACATTTTATTATAAGTTGGCATATACTATATACGGAAACAGCTAAAACTTCTCTATTATTATGACCAACTGTATCATTTACCATCACCATCAGTGATTCTATGAATAATTTGAAATATGTAAGTTGGCTCCCCGCCCCACTGTATATAGCTTGATTGATTTGTGAGGTTTAACGTCCCGAAACCACTATTTGATTATGAGAGACGCCTTAGTGGAGGGCTCCGGAAATTTTGACCACCTGGGGTTCTTTAACGTGCACCCAAATCTGAGTACACGGGCCTACAACATTTCCGCCTCCATCGGAAATGCAGCCGACACAGCCGAGATTTGATCCCGCGACCTGCGGGTCAGCAGCCGAGTACCTTAACCACTAGGCCACCGTGGCGGGGCCACTGTATATAGCTTATCTTCAATTAAAAAAAAAAAAAAACAGAAGTCGAATGCACTATAGTAATTTCTCGGGCGTGTATCACCCAGTAACACGATTTATCAGCATAGTTGTAAACAGGAACGACCTCTGGTCATGTTCAGTGTCTCGTACAGATAGTCGCGCCTTCGCTGCACGCTCAACTCTGACAACGCACTGCTAGCTCAGCGTACTTTCAGGAAGCCGCGCCGGTCGTCTGCCATCTATTCGTGAGTAAAGCTTCATGTTTACAATACTGCTCTGGCAGTTCAACAAGTACCAGACCCCCCCTCGTGGGGAATTCGAAGGGTGTTCTACGTGCGCACTCCGAAAATGCATGACCTCCCGAAAACGCTCCTTTGAAGCTGTGAAGTCAGCCTTTGACCTCGCGCGTGCGGCTCTACATGGCGGCGTCTTTTTTTTTCTTCCTGTGAAAAGGCCTTGATAGCTTCTGTGATTCCTCGTACAGACAAGATGGATCACGTCTGCACATGCGCTGTAGGTAAGAGAGATGCGTGTGTTTGTTTGCACACGCGGCTCTTACGTTGCGCACGCTACAGCTAGTACCTTCTTCGACAGCCGTTGGGCACTTTAGCAGTGGCTCTCGCGAGATCTCCCCATGGTGTGAGCACGAAAACCAAAATGGCCGCGACCAACAGCAGCACGAGCAGCAGTGCGGTCATGGCTGCGAGTAAATTCCGCGTGAATTTTACGATTGTCCTCGATTTAGAGCTCCTTGCTCACGTGAGGAGCTTAAATTGTTCGCGGGTCCCGCGCAATGGACAGTTATCTCTGTGGGCTGGCGGGGATACCTTTCAACGCCCAGAATGTCCGCAGTCGGACGGAGCTACAGTACGCTAAACTGTAGGAAGCAGCCTCAGCTGTAACGTACGTAGCGCGCTAGCCGTTGCGCACGTACGGCCTTGCGCGCGCTAAACTAAAACTCTCGTCTAGCAAGTGGAAGTCAGCGTGACCATGCAATTTGTGGACACACCTGCTGGACACACCTGTCACCAACTGCCTCTACGTGCTATCTGTACATAGGCCCCGCACGTAGTGGGACACCTGCCACCCGCAAGCGGAGTGTGCATGAGCGTGACCCCAAGCAGTACGTGACCTCGTCCACCATGCATTCTGCATACCTCAACCAAGCATGCAAAGTGATGTGCTAGAACACTGCATGCTGGTCATCAGGGCGTTGGGAGATATAGGGCTCAAGCCACTCAATCAGCGTGGTGGTCAGGCATCAACCAGCACATCCAAAGTTATGTGCCAAGATGTTCTGTTTGCCAACAACACCGCAAGCCACACGCCGAGCCCATGATACTCAACTCACTTCCCAAACACCCCTGGGAAGTGATATGAATCGATCTCTTTAGCATGGATGGAGTTAACTATCTCGTAGTAGTGGACTATTATACTCTCACTTCTTTTTACTCAAGAAGTTGAAGCGTACCACCGCATAGAACATAACACAAGCACTGTGCCAATACTTCGCGCGGTTTTGGGCACCAGCTATCATACGATCGGACAATATATCCCTCAGTTTTCTTCGGCACAGTTCAAGACGTCCGTCAATCAGTGGGGATCAAGTCACATAACCAGCAGCCCCTAATTCCCTCAGAGTAACGGCGCAGCAGAAAGAACAGTTCAGACCACTGAACAGCCGATCATGAAATGGCCAAACATCCATAGCTCTACTCGCGCACAGAGACACTCCAGGGAAAGCGCCTATGAACCGACGGGCACCACACAGGCAGAAGCCATGGTAAAGCACGGTAGAATTTAGAAAACTAAACAAAGCCTTCAATGCCAAACAGGGCCAACAGTACAACCGGAGACACAGGACCTAGGCAAGAGATCCTATTTAACCGCATACAGCTGTCCGCATTCTGTCGGGTACTCCGACAACAGCAGGGACTGTCATCGAGCCGGCTCACACGCCTCGCTCATACATCGTGAGCACAGCTGGTGGAGGTCTCACGAGATCGTACCAGCAAGAATCTGCAGCCTCTACAACCAGTGGCGACGACAAGAAGTGGGTAAAAGGTTTTTACACCAAGTAGGCTCGACGTTTGATAAGCAGGACTACTTCGAACAAGAGGAGCTAGGTGTCATGGGCGCTACGAGAGGGCGCCAAATGTAGGGCATCACGTAGCAATCGGCGGGACTATACGCGAGGGACCAGGGTCGGCGTTCTGGAGATAATGTAGCCGTGTGAGCCTGCGTGCTCACAGCTAATAGTTTAATAAACAGTCGTTGTATTTGACTCCCATGAGCACTCCGTCTACGGTCACGACAGCTTCGTTCTCTGGAATGCGCGAAATATCATGCATTCATTCGCTAAAGAATTCTATAAAAAAGCACCGCGGTCAAGCGGCAACAAACACGTCACGGAGTAGTACGTGTTTCATTCCCTGCTGCACCGCGCAGCGGGCACCTTGAAGCGGCGAAGGGATATGCCTCGAACTGAAAGTACCGTAGCAGATAAGGCGCCATTTTACGGACGGACGCATGGACGAGAGCTTGGATGCACGGACGGGTCACCTTCAAGTGAGGCTTGGGAGGGAATCCTCACGACCACAAGCCTGGACACCCAGGTCCAAGCCATCAAACGCGCTGACGAGGTGGCGACCAGGCATGGCCCGACAGCCCTCGCCCCTTAAGAAACCGTCGGCTGCCTTGTTGTTTACTACTACGGACGCACGCACGAACTGACCTACGGATGGACGCTTTGCCTCACTCATCATCATTCACTCCGTGGATATGCTGTGATGTTTTTTTTTTATACACAGATGTTTTTCGTTTTATTATTGTGCAAGTGTTCAGTTTCGTTTTAGGAGCGTCATAACAAAACTCGACCCTAAGAAGCTTCGCCCTAAGAAAGAAAGAAACCCTTCTGCAACCTTATCAACGCGTACACTAATTTTCTCTCAACTCGCGGATAGCTCACGCAAGCAAAAGTGCATATGTGACAGCTTTGGCTAACTCAGCCATCCGGAAAGACTAAAAAATGTGCGCGAAACACGGCACCATGGACACTATGCACGCGCAATCTCGTCTGGCAATTGCGGCAATCGGCAATCATGGAGGCTTTCTCCATGCCGGCAAGTGCAAACATGTGCGCTCGCAGCGATTTCGAAAAGTCAGTCGGTAGGTTCAAAGCACTGCAATCTGCACAGTTCCGAGAGCACACGTGTTTCTGTTCGTCCTCGAATGGAGAAAGCTTTGATCTTTGTATGTCGGTACTGTGGCGCGCCGTACGCGAACAAGTGCAATGTGCAGAGACGCCTAGGTGCAGCGTGTAAACATCACGCGTTTGTAGCAGAGAACCAGTTTGGCTGTAACATGCAAGGACTCGTCATGCTGTGTCCGAGCAGCGTCGTCTTCTGACTACGGCATCTGAGGTACGTGACCAGATAGCTCGGGTTTGTGATAGCGCACTTGAGCAGGTAGGCTAAAAAGACAAACAAGAAACACGCGAATCGAGTGTTCGTCACGTGTCATGTTACTCGCTTGCGTCTCTTCTTTCTGCGCCACCTGCTCAAATATGCAGCCCGTGTGCTCAGATTTGGGTGCACGTTAAAGAACCCCAGGTGGTCTAAATTTTTGGAGCCCTCCACTACGGCGTCTCTCATAATCATATAGTGGTTTTGGGACGTTAAACCCCACATATCAATCAATCAATGCTCAAATATCCAATCTTACGAACTCGTCCATATTTCAGTTCGTGTAAGTTTGTGGTTACCAACTGCATGACTCTGCGTAGATTTGCACGAGCATGTTGTAGGGCGTCACCGTATAATGTAATAATAACATTCCGGATGCAGTGGTAGTCATGCGCGTATTCGTGCCTACAGTGAGCTATCAGTGCAAGGCGCTGTCCTCTTGAGATGACATGAAGTGACAAGAATTTCATTCAAGCCTTGAGGGACATGATACTTAGGGCAATGCCTCCTAGTTGCATAGGGGAAGCATAGCCCCGCTAACCCCATATCAATTCGGTGGCCACGCCCACGATGGCACCGAAAGTCGAAGTTCCCTGGCGATGTCGTGGCCCCTTTGGACGGCTTGGAGTTCCCGAGAAAATGTATGATTTACTGATGGTGATAAGGTTAATTATATTCAGCGGAATTCTCATCGAGAAGATTATGCAGAACTGATTCTTGGGAGGCGCGGCAAGCACAGCAAATGTCATTTGTTGAGGGACATGTTTGTCGTGATATGTACTTAATGGAAGTGGATGAAAAGATGGCTTTCCCCTGGCATGGACCGAACGGGCAACTTTCCGGTTACGCACTTGATGCCCTTGCCCCTCCATGGGTTGCCAGTGGCAAGTTGTCTTTTCGTCCACCTTACTCACTACAATGCTTGAAACAGCAAAATTAACGCTCCCCATACCTCTCTTGTCTTCATTATCTACTGGTTTTCATTAAGTTCAGTTCAGTTTATTTACCTTAAGGGTCTCCCGAAGGAGACGTTACATAAGCGGTGCGTTAACAAAACTTTCACATGATTTATACATTAATAGTTTCAGGTTGTGTCAGACAAGGAAACGAGCCTTCATGATTCTCTCCATTCGTGAGCAGCGGTTGTGGTGTATTTCATAAAGGTGTAGCTTCGCATTTGGGGTCATTCCGTGACAAACAACCCAACCATTCTGGCGACGGTCTCAAGTGTGCTTAAAAAAAAAGAGCATGGCGATTTTTTGCTCTGAAAACAACAAATTTCCAGAATATTTCTTAGAGTAAAAGCTTTTGGTCACATGAACAGCCTTTCGAATTTTGCAGCATGTCTTGTGGGTGTTGTTTTTATGAAAAAATTATCCTCAGGGTATCATTCTTTGTTTCAATATCAAATTTAGTTGAAATGCTAAGCAAAGGCATTTGTATAGCATGTTCTAAGCTCAATAATATTAGTGCAACTTTTCTGCCATGTGCGCCTCCAAACATTTTGCCGACATGTTCAGTGTTTGCATTTTTTTTCTCCTGTAATGTGGCGCTGCGCATGAATATCTGAGTAATGAATAGTTACTCTACAGACGGTATATTTAGTGTAAAAAAAATTTTGAGCTCACTGAAGTTTCTAAATTTACTAGAAAACATCACGAGATTGAGGAAACCGTAATTTTGGTCAACTTTGAAATGCAGTTTATACCACATAAATGCATTAATTATCAATGGCTTTATAGCTCAATTGAAAAGAAATAAATTGTTCTGCTTGTATGGCAAGTTTACTCATTACAATTTTTGTTTTAAGGACTGATTTTTAAAGTTCTCTGTTGACGGCTGTTTACTGATTTTGGTAATATGGCAGCTTTCTCGTTAGTTCTTCATTGGGAGTTCTTCTTTTTATATGGTGATGTACACTGTCGTTCTTAATAAAAGGAACACACAATCGCGTGATCTGCTCTTCACAATGGCTGCCTATAGTATCTCACAGTGCTTGTCCAACGGCCATAACTCGTTGTTTTGTTTGCCAATAGATGACGCCAAAAGCCAACGTCTTTTCTTTTGCTGCCAGTTGATGATGGTCCTGTAGGCAGCCACCGCAGAACGCACGCCACGCGCTCATGTGTTCCCTTTCATTAAGTACGGCAGTGTACCCAGTAGCATTTTGTTGCACGTATGACACAAGCCCCATTAATTTTTGTTATATGTCTAAATTATTCCGAAAAGTGTCCCACAGACAGCCAGAGGTTGGGGGGGGGGGGGGTCACGAATGTACTGCTAGACTGTGCACTTCGATTTGTGTTATTTTCTGATCGTGAACAGGTTTGAAGACATGGAAGGAAGCAGCAAAAAAGGATACTTGCTTCAATGCAAAAGGAAGTTTGTGGGAAAAGAGAATTCTGTGCTCCCTCTGTGACTAATCTGCATGTTACACTTCACAAGGTGAGTGAGTACTGACCATGTGACATCCATTCCAAATTTTATGGCTTTGGCTTTGTAAAGACTTGGAAAAAACCCACTGCCATAATCATTTGTGAACAGTTGAGTGCATTTAGGCCTTCCCACTGACAATAAAGATCAGAAGGCTCTTTTTTCTCATGCCAATTCAGACGCCAAGAGTGCTGCTTTTACCGTAATAGCGTGCGCAGAAAGTGATGAAAGTCAAAGCAAAAATCTTATCTGGTAATGCCGCTTAAAATTTTTCACACCAGCTCTCCATGAAGTCAGGATTTGACAGCATTTTTTAGAGTTTCAATAATTTTTAGCTAACAGTGATTTATTTAATACTGTGAATAAAATATAGGTTTGACATAAGAAAGCTGGTTTTTATGAAGTTTATCTAGCCAAGTGGCACTCCACATTGTGAAACTATGCCTTGGCGTTAAATGGTGGTATTTTGGCAGTGCACTTGTTGCATGTTTTGCACATTTGTTTACCTTGTCAGGGCCTTGAATCGTGCTTCTTCGCCATGCTGCTTTCGAGTGATTGACATGAGCAGCATGTCAATCACTCGAACTCAATCACTTGATGGGCCGAGAGGAGGAATGCGATTATGGTGTGCGACAAATCTTCGGTTGTACTCGATGGATCCTTAAGATTTTTGCTGCGTTGAATTTGCGAGGCAATAAGCTCTTATAGTGAATCCATTCCATCAAGGCTTTTTTAAGGGGAAAAATGAATAACTTTTAAGCAGATAAATTGTTCTTTGAACATATGAGCATATAATTGTCTCTTGTTAATTGTAGGTTCATCATTTAAGTAAAAGTTGACAGTGAGTGTTTTATATCAAGTTTTTACGTCTAAATCTTCGCACATTAATCTCGGCGATTTCAAAGTCTTCTTTTTTGTATTTTACCCATATTGTTACAAGATTTCTGGAAACTTCGTATGATATATCTCAAGCTTCCTTAAGCAGAATGTACTTCATTTTTGTAAGAACTATGTGGCCCTTAGTAGGAGTCTTTGAAATGTTCACATACTGCGAAGTTGTTACGAGACCTTCAAACTTCACAGTGACATCACCTGTATTGTCTTTTGCACATCTTTTTCCTTATGAAGCGCTCCATCTTGGTGAGAGGTAAGCTTTTAGTATTGTGAAAGGGTTATTTAACAATTCGCTAAGAGTCTCTTTTCTCTCTGGTTATCCTTTAAAGGGGCCCTTCATCACTTTTTGAGCATGGTCAGAAAACGCTGCAAATTGGTAGTAGAGGCTCCTGACAACACGCTAACCAAATATTATAGCACAGCATGCGGCCTGGAATCCACAATAAATTATCAAAGCCAGTTAAAATTACTTTCTCTTCTCTAGAAAAATCATGGAAGACGTTCAAAAATTGCTTGTAAAAACCCATCTATTAGCCATTGATTGATTTTAACATAGCACGCCTGTTCGTTAGAGAGATCGCTGCAAGAGGCCGTCACTTGTCGACGCGTGCACGTGCGATCACACTGAAACACTGAGGAGGATGCGGACCATATAATTGGTTAACGGGGTGTTAAAGTGCGACTTACTTGGGTCGATGGCTAAATTGGTTAACGTGGTTGTGAAATGGGGTGTTAAATTGCGACTTACTTGGGTCGATGGCTAAATTGGTTAACGTGGTTGTAGGAGGGGGTGTTAAATGAGTGAACACGTACACACGTATGCGAAAGGGCGGCGCTGGTCGAAGGGACGTCGATCATTGTGTTTGTGGATTCGTTGGAATTCATTTCACCGCGACCTTGGACGTCGACGCGCCGTACAAACCAACCGACGAGCGGCAACTGAGCGAGCGAGCGCCGACCTTGAGTATATTTACAGCACGACGGCGCATGCACTGTCAGCTGTTGAATGTTCTCGAAGCGCGACGCCACATGCGCGTCCACTGGAGAATCAGGAGAATTGTAGATGTCGAATGCGGTGTGTAGAGGAGGAAGGGTGCACAGATGGTGGAGGAGTGAAGCGCGCGCGGTGTGTAGAAGTCTCGCATTCAAAGAAAAAAAAAGTATTCAAGGTCACGAGGCGCGGGTGACATAACTTCTTTGCCCCTGCCACCCCTCCCTGCTTAGCTTCCAGCATTTTCGTCGGGACGACAGAAGAGAGAATGCAATTGCAGCATGTGACACGTCTTCGTAACTCCACTCGCACTGGATGGATTCTTAAAATTTTTGCGGCATTGGCTTCGTGAAGCAATAAGCTCTTCCAGTGGATTCATTCCATGGTTACTAGAAAAAGTGTTTCAAGGCCCCTTGAAAGTGCCAGTAAACAACTTCGCTGTCCAAAATTTCTGGAGAATTAACTGCACGCTTGTACAATGTGAAGATGCTGCTGCAAGAACTCTGCGAATAAATACTGTAGTAAAGAAGTCATAGGGTACAGAGCAACCCACCTCGTCTGGTTTAGGTTTCTTACTCAACCTGCTCATCCTTTTTAGCGGCAGTGATGGGCGCGTCGAGCCTGTCGTTGCGACTACGCCCACTTCGGCAACATAACACGACATCGGCGACTACGTTATCTATTCACAGCCAATGGCTGAGTGAGGTTTCCTTCATGTGACGCTCGTGTCATAGCAATGCGGGAAGGGAGCGAGGTATGCACTGGTACTCTGGTGGTATGGTTGTGAGATGCCCCTTCATTTTGGAGCCTTCTGTTCTTGCAGTGTTGTTTTTCCTGGTTGTCTAGGAGCTCTACCAAAGCAGCAGAGGGCAGCACAGGAAAATGAAAATGCTCATTGGGCTGCCTAAATAACTGAAACTACGTTACCGCAAGGCCAAGCTGCCGTTTTACAGTGCAGAAGACTGATCGATGAAGTCAATGCTGCATAATATTGCCCATGGGCATGATTATGCCAGTCCTCGACGTCTTTGAACAAGCCGTAGCAACCACACGTCCCCTCTGGTGCTAGGTTGTCTCTTCCTTTGTAGTATGATGAGGCCATTTTGTGCCAGGCCACCCACGCTCGCATTTTGGAAGCATCAAAGGACCCCCGCTCGCCACGCTCAATATGCGCAGCTGAATGTCGTCCATGCTGTCGCTGCCATCTCTTTCAGGAGGCTGTCTTGACCGAAACCATTTCGGTCGTCATTTTAAATTTTGTGACGCGGCGCTGCAACAGCATGCCCCTCGCTCTCACGTTATTAAGACAATACTCATATTTGGACGGCTGTCAGCAGGCCCGCTTCCTTTCGGCAACTTGTTCGCAGAACCGCAAACACCCCTCTCTGCTTGGCTCAAGTGCCGATCCTAACACTGTGCAGGAGCCCATCATGTATTCCTGCAATGCTCTTACCTTTTGACTGGGTGGCTGAACTTGCTTTTAAAGTTTTTTCTTTTGTGTTGTAGGTGTGGAGCAGCGATGATGAAGGGTTGATTGACAGTTCTAATGACACAGCATACTTGACTTGTGACAGGCGTTCCTGACATGCTGGACCCTGGCAAGGAACTACGGTCGAGTTTGGTGGATTTCGGAACATGGATTTTGAAACAAAGGCTAGGCTATTATCTTGGCACAAGTCGAACTGGATGAGGCAAGTTGTGGTACTTTTCTGGGCACCCCTATTTGCTGAAGGCACAGTTTTTAGGGTCAGATTTTTATTGTGAATTTGTGACTGAAGAGACGGAGTACTTTCCCACGTTGACCATCTGAGGAAATGTCGGTGGAATCAAAAGGTATAGGATGACAAAGGAAATTGCAAACTCACAGTCACGTGCAGTGGACTCTCGTTAAATTGAATCTGATGGGACCAGTAAAGTATGTTCTGTTCAACAAGAGTTAGTGTTATCCGTGAGATGATCAGTGGTGCAGAATGCAAGAATAAAACCAATCGTGTCAAAAGTGCTTGTTCCATTTAAGCAGCAGTTCCATTTAAGGGGTTTCTGTTTACCAAGAGTCCACCGTAGTTGTGGCAGTGAAGACAATGGCAGTCAACCCAGTAGAGACTAAACTCTTCATTAGGCGAATCTGTACCTAGCAAAACTAGATGGTCATGCAGTACTTCTAAACTTGTACCGGGCTATGCAATGAATAAATTATTGCTGAAGTGGCATTACAGGTAACAATAAATAAGTAAGCATTTGTGCTTGTAAACATTGCCACTTTAAATTTTTCTTTTGGCTCTTGTATATAAATTCACAGATTTAATTAGTCATTTATATTTTCATGATGCAGAAACAGCAGAACTCTGAAATAGGAGAGCTCGCTTTAATCATATGCATGGCACTCTCAAAGAGGATTGGGCAAGAACCTTGTCTTGCTTTCTTGCTGCTCGAGATCTTCTTTCTTTAAGCTGTGCAGGTTGAATGCAGCAATATGTATGTGGCTGATGAAGTTAAAATGTCTGGTTAATGCCTCCCAGGTGTCCTTCAAGGAATTGACTTGCCTAATCTGAACATTTTTCTTTACATAACATATCATTTGTGTTATGAGTGACATTTCCTGTATTGTGTCAGCAGACTACATATTAACAGACATGTTTGGTTTGTACACAGGTATGACAGTGGACGACAGTGACTAGTGGTCTTCCTTTGCTGTGCCAGAACTTTTGATTCAGGTAATGCACCTGTCCATCAAACCTCAAGGAGTAGATGGCCAGATTCTGGTGTGTCTGAAAGGGTAACTGAGCTTGGACGTATTGACTTGTTTGAAAGATCTGTTGGTGATGTGGAGTTAGGCCGAGTCGAAAGAAGCCTTATGTGGCTCATGAGTAAAAAAAAATCCAGTGTATGGTGTTCGCAATGTGAATAAGAATAGTTTCAAAACGTGGTAGTAGAACAACTGTCTCTTAAGATCATAGATTTTCGTCTGCACTGCCCATAGTTTTACCTAAGCGGACTGCCAACTAAAAAAATTCAGTATTAGGAGGAGTAGGGCAATGAAATGGTGAATTAGTTAAAAGTTTTTCCATCTTTAGCAGCAAAACTGTTGGAGCTTACTGTAGTTTGTGTAATGTTGCAAAAAATCGCAGGTTGGTAAGCGTCACAGATATTAGACAAGCCCCCTCTACTGAATACAGCGGGAGCAAGCTTTAAATGAAAAATATGCTCAGTTCAGTGGAGCATGTCAAACACATGAAAGAGAAGGAAGAAAGACACTTGGGAAAGGAAGTGATAAAAAGACAGAGAGAAGTAAAGGAAATAAAGACGAGATAAAAATACCGGGGAAAACAGAAAGAACACGAAAAAGACAGAAAAAAAAGCAGAGAGAAAAGAAAAGAAAGATAAAAATAGAAAAGCTGGAAAAAGAAAGCGAAGGAAAGCAAAAAAATTGGTTCAAAATTTGCTTGTTACACCCCAAATGTAGTCGAAAGACGATAGTCTTGCATCTGGAGAAAGTGAACAAAACGTTTATTTGATGTTCTGCTAAAGAAAATCGATAAAGGGTAGTCTGGAAGCGCTGCATTAGAGTGCCTCGAGCGTGTAGCAGAGATGAACGAACGCATCGAGGCACATTAGACACAAGCGCCATCTGGCAGTTATCTTCGAAAACGAAGGCGTGCAGCCCATGGAGAAAGATGCGCGCTAGTGTCGGAGGTAATATGGTGTGGAACGCAAAGCGACGGGCAAGTGCCACTACCGTGACGTCGTAGCAAAGCATTGGAAACACCTTCTTGAGCATCGCGCTGCACTGCCAGTGCAGCGCAATAAATGCTACATTTCTTAGTTATTTGTGTGTGCCTCTTCCAAGTGTAAAGGCAGACATACAAAACTTTGAAGTGTTGTTATGGCGCCTCAGATATGCGCAATAATTGCTTTTTAATTGACAATTGCACAACTATGAACCTTGAGCAATATTGGTGGGCGCTGCGAATCGGGTTGGCCGTTTGGTGCCCTTTGAGCCATCGTTAGGGCGGACAAACAGACAAGTGTACAGACAGATAGACCAAAATGTTTCCGTAGAAGGTCCCCAAGAAAGACTATCGTTTTAAAAAAAAAAAAAATGAAATTTGAAGGCCTCCCAGCTGCGCTTGTAGTTAAGGCTGGGCACCGCTAGTGCACAGGTGCCATAATTTTTTTTCAACTTACCTTTCAGGGGATGCCTGGATGTTTTTTTATGTTGCAATTAAATGCAGTTTTAGAACACAGTATGCAGTAGAAATTGTGGAAACAGCACTTCACTGCTGTGCTTTCATCAAAGCAAAGAGAACATTTTGCCACTGCACTGCAGGTTTTGTGGCTTTCCTTTCGCAATGTGCCGCTATCTTGGCGTCAACGTAAAGAACGAAAATTGGTGCTCAGGATAGCCACAGAAACACGTTTCTCTAGTCAATAATAAGAGCAGTGCGCTTTCTGACCATGTGAAATTCTGCCATGTTGTCAAATTGGCCACCTTGTGAGCTTTGGTCGTCCCATAGGGCTGCTGCAGCCTTTCTGATTGGCTTTGAATGCCATCATTACAAAAAGCACCATCCCTACAATCTTTGTCTTTTTTTAGGAGCGAAGCTCCTTAAGGCGTGGGCTGTGCGTCCCCTGTATGTAGCCACCTCTCGTTCAGTTCTAAGTATTACGCTAGCCACCGCCCGATCTAAAGGGTGCAGTCATATCCATTTGTCCATCCGTCCGTCCATCCATCCATCCGTCCGTCCGTCCGTCCGTCCAAAAGATGCAAGATGTTATAAACTAGACGGCGGTACGTGTAGTTGATTACGAAAGATGCGAGGTGTTATAAAATAGGAATGATGCCACATATGGCGCAAGTCATCGTTCGATATAGTGCGGCGACGTACGCTAGGGGGAGCGTTGCAATAAAATCGAGTGTGCAAAATGTACGGAGGATTCATGGTTTACCAGGTTTACCTCCGGAGCTTCGCCCACTCATCATCATTCACTTCGTGGATATGGCGGCATTTTTTTGTCTTAGAATATTGCTAATTGTTATTTTTCAGGCTTTTATTATTTCCACAGGAGAATGGAATTTAATAAAGAACAGACTGTTCACATGGAACATGCTTGTACCCGTGTTTAGTGTCTATCTGCTTTAATAAAGTTGTATGAAAGAACAGCAGTGATCTATACTTTATCTGAATATACTCAAACCTTGATGTAGCGAAACCGGGTATAATGAATTATCAGTTATAACGAAGTACTGTGGAGCCCCACTATATCGAACTCATTTATATCAAATTATCCCGTATATCAAACAATTTCTAAACACGGCAAATTTAAATTGAGAATATATAGCAAAAGTCATTGTTACTTCGAACGAAAATAGCGATTTACATTGAGAATATATAGCAAAAGTTACTGTTACACCGAACAAAAATAGCGATGACAATCGATATATCAAACTCCATGTGCCTCAAAAGTGCCCCAGCAAGTTGGCTTTCCTTCGTGGTGGCGGGGAAAACTGCCAGCGCCACCCTAGAAAAAGTTGTCTAGAACCGGTTGTGCATAGGCGAACACCCCCCTTCAAGAAAGGATTCTGGCCCGCTTGCAGCCAATCAGAAGCAGTCGTCCTTTCTCCAAAGCCCGGAGGCGTTAGAAGTAAGCGCCATTTTTTCTTTCTTCATGCTTGTGTGCCTGCTGCTGCCTATTTTCCTCGAGTCCTCATTCAGCGTGGTCGGTGTTGGTGGTGTTGCCTGTTGGTGCTCTGATAACTTTATTGGCACTCTCTCGTCATGGCTAGCGCAAAGAGGCAGAATTTGTCATTCGCTGCGAAACACGAAATCATAAATAGAATCGAGTGCGGTGAAAAGAAGTCCGACATCGCCGTTGCGTACAAAATTCCAAGGAGCATACTGAAGTACAAGGCATACATTAGGGCCAAGTCAGACAAAAGGCCAGGGGCCCGTGGCGCCCAGCGTGTGCGCACTGCTGTGATGTTGAAGCGGCCATTTACAAATGATTTGTGGATATTCGGTCGCGAAACAGCCCGGCGTCTGCCCCTATGATCAAGCAGAAAGCCAAAAACCTTGCTTTCCTGCTTGGCAGGAACGATTTCCAACGTGGTTCAGGCTGGCTCCAACGGTTCAAAGAACGGCACGGCATCGTTGGCAAAGCTGTTACAGCTGAAAGCAGAGCGGCGGACTTGGACAGCGTAGACAAATGGCTCGAGGAAAACTGGCGAGATATCGCAGCAAGATATCAAGCCCAAGATATCTTCAATCCAGATGAAACTGCTCTATTTTGGCAAATGTTGCCGAATAAGACACTTCCAAGACGTGGCGATAAGACTTGCGGCGGCAAGGCAAACAAAGCTCGTGTGTCCGTTCTGTTGGCAGCTATTTTAGATGAATTGAAAAAGTTTCGACCTCTGGTTAACGGGAAAAGCACGGCAACGCGGTGTTTTCGAAATGCGCTGTCGCTTCCAGTTACCTACCGAGCAAACTTAAAAGTATGGATGACAGGGGAGCTTTTCAGCAGGTGGCTATCATCGTGGAATGATAATTTGGTAGGCAAAAGTCGGACAATTGTTCATCTCACCACTGCAGTATGACCTTCAGCAACATTGAGCTGCATTTTTTGCCCCCAAACACTGTCTGTACTGCAACCATTGGATGAAGGCGTTATACGTGCAGTAAAAGCTGCCTATCGGAAGCGCCTGGTGGATAGGCTGCTACAGAACTTTTGTGTCAGCAGGGAGCTTAAGGTTGAGTTGTTCGGAGCTCTTTCTATGTTGAGTAGATCATGGGCAGATGTCAGGAGGGAGACGATCCACAACTGCTTTAGGCATGCCGGCTTTTGCATGCCTGGTGATGGCTACCCGAAATTCAGATGACAGCTCTGAAGACACCGCAGGTGTTTCTGCTGAAGTTTAGAGTGAGCTGGTAGAGTTCCCGGGAGCTATTGATGGATCGACATGTGACGAGTTCGTCAACGCGGACGATGATGTCGCCATCATGGGTCAGGTACAAGATGAGGACCACAATGCAGACATTGTGCAGACCATGAGCCAAAGTGACAGTAATAAGGAAATTGAAGATGGCCCGTTGCCTACATCCTCCCAAGTGATTAGTGCACTTGTGTTGGTTCGGCGCTATTGCGTGAATTTGGAAGGTTGTGGTCTCACCTGCTCAGACTTGGTGGACAACGTAGAGTGAGGCCTGCGTGCTGTTGCAGGCGGTGAAGTCATTCACACAGAAGAAAATCCGAGACTATTTTGTTCCAAAGTAGGGAATGCAAGTAAGCCACCATATTAATAAAGGGCTTTGCTTATTGTTATGTACCTTTGTGTCAAATCGTATAGAGGGCCTATATCGAATTATGCCATATATCGAACTAATAAACGTTTTTTGGCGAGTTCGATATACCCGGGTTCGACTGTAAATAAAGAATAGCCTGGTCATACAGTGTTGCTAATGTATTTATAATGAATATTCGCATATAATGATGTATTTTGGTGACTTTGTAATGAGGTTCAGACATTTGTAGCGGGCATTCGGACCATTGCGGCAATCGTTCATTCAGACCATTGCGGCACTCTTGCCTGAAGACTAATCAAATCCTAGTAGAAAAGTGGCACTTTTGGCTAGCAGAGGTCAGTCTTCAACAGTGCTAAGTGCATTGTAGTGTCGCCTTTTGAATAATCCTCAAGGGTCATCAATGGGGTTGGCTGGGTGTTACCTGTTTACCAGCCCCTTAAGTAATACTATGAGGGCATGTATTTGTTGAATTTACTTAGTGGCTTAGCCAGTTAATATCTGTAGTTGCAACTTGGGGTTTTCAGTAAAATAAACTTAAATGTCTTATTAGCTACATGCGAATTAAGGTAAGTTTACTGTACTCAAAGACTTAGTGGTTTTCCTTTGGAAAGTTAAGAAACAACTTTAAATGGTGTTGTGGGGAGCTGCTACTTGAAAAGACCGTATCTTAAGCACATCTCCAAATCTAACGAAAATTGGCATTGTATAGTGTGATAGAATTGGAGAAGGCAGAAGAGACGCTGCCCTAATTGATTAAAGCATGCTAGCTTTGTTATGTCCGGTGTTGTCGTCGGCCCATAGACGTACGCGTTGGTCGCGGTAGTCCAAAAAGCTCAGACAGCCTCGAACGGTTAAAAACAAGTTTATTCCTATTCGGATGGAGGCGGCGGCCGAACTGCCGGGGGAAACGACGGTGGCTCGTTTCCCTGAGCGGGGGAAGGGGAGGAGTCAACATCTGGAAGCAGTTTTAGCAACCGGTCCTTCGCGGGTTCAAAGGCTCGCTCGTGACACAGGGGTGCTTGGAACACATCTCCTCCCTCCTTAGCTTGTCGCTTGGAAGCGATTTGGGGGCCGCCGTGGGCGCGTGGACGCTCTGGACGCACTAGGAAGAGAAGCCTCCGCTCGCTGGGTGTCGTTTCTCTTGTGTTCAGGGCCGGCGGGCGGCGCCGCCGATTCATCTGGTGCGAGATGCCAGGCTAAGTGGAACGAAGCTTCCGTCGAGGTGGCTGCTTGAATGGGAGGTTCCCTTGGCAAATTACCTAAACGGCGTAGCTGATTAAGGTGGCGGCGTGTGGCCCTTCCACCAATGTCGACGAGCCATGACCGCAAACCTATGCGTTTGAGTGCCGTCGCTTCAACCCAGCCGGGCTTTCTGTGGAACTGGCGGGCGTATATGCGCTGTCCACTTTCAATTCTCCTGCTATGCGGGAGCTTTTCTTCCTCCGACGGTGCTTTCGCTGAGGGCTCCGGGACAATTGCTGTCAGCTGGGTTCTCATTTCTCGTCCGAACGTCAATTTCGCTGGCGTTTGATCAGTAGTGCTTTGAACAGTGTTGTGCTGTCTGAAGAGAAAGCGCTCGATGCGGCGTTGCATTGTCCCAGTCTGGTCTTTAGTAAGGGCGCGCTTTAGCTCAGCCACGTAGCGCTCGGCTTGTCCGTTCGTAGCCGGGTGGTAAGGAGCTGATGTAACAGACGAGACGCCGTTGTCGCTGTAAAACTTGAGAATCTCCGTGGACACAAACGGAGTGCCGTTGTACGAGACCACCTTGCGCGGTAGGCCAAACGTTGCAAACAACGACTGCAGAGTGTCGATAACTGCTGCCGATGTCGTTGTAGCCGTTTGTTTTACCTCCAGCCACTTGGTGTATGCTTCTACAACCACCAGGAACGAACACCCTTCGATAGGTCCAGCAAAATCAATGTGCAGCGTGTGCCAAGGCGTGTCTGGTCTTTCCCATTCAGGAATAGTAGCTCTTGGCGGGCTTCTGTGGTTGCATTGGCAAGGCTGGCAATCGTGAACTGTAACGGCGTTTAAGTCATATAGTGCCGATGACGTTAGTGCTGTTCGGCTTGTATCTTGCATCTGGCCCTCCTGTGCGTCGACATTCTTGTTCCGTTGCACTGAAGTCTTCGGTCCGAGCTGTTTGCGCTTAGAGATGCATGCCTTTTCAATGTGTCCCAGTTTTTGGCAAAAATTGCAGGTCGCTGTCTTGTATCGACATACCTGGGGATTGTGTATGTCGTCGCATCGCCAACAGCGCTGTGTCTTTCTGCTTGATTTCGCCTTAGACGTGGAATGACCTGACTGCTGACTGGTGTGATGCACTGGCTCGACGTTCCGTCGACTATGCCTCTGCTGGTGACCGGCGCTCTCCGCTCGTTGGGCGATGTCGTAGGCTTTGGAGAAGGTGAGACCCGTCTCCGCGAACAGGCGTTGTTGTAGGCCTGCGTCTTGCAGCCCGCACACAAAACGATCACGCAACATAACGTCCAAGGGGAGCATAGTGGTGTTAGCAGGTGTGGCAGTCGATCCTCCCTCCTGCGCAGTAGCTGCAGCTGTCGCGGTCAACGTCCCGAAATTGCAGTCAGCAGCGAGCTTTTTGAGAGCCGCTACGTATTCGGCCACTTTTTCGCCTTCCAGTTGGTCTCGCCGTTGGAAGCGGGCTCGACAGTAGACCTCCGATGGCCTTGGGTCATAGTGCTCTTGTAGCGCTGCTACGATGTCGTCGTAGTCAACAGCTGCTGGAGTGCGTGGCTGAATCAGGGCACAGACTGTGTCGTATGTCTGCTCCCCACACAGCGTTAGCAGGTTGGCCCTCTTCATTGCTGCATCAGTGATGTTGTTAGCCTCGAAGTAAAATTGCAGGCGTCCAAACCACGATGACCATGATGAGCCGTTGAATTCGGGTAGCCGATTTGGGAGCCCGTGCGTAGCCATAATTTGTAGCTTGTCAATATCGTTGCGTAGCGTTGGTCCAAATCCACTTCCTCGTCGCCACTGTTATGTCCGGTGTTGTCGTCGGCCCATAGACGTACGCGTTGGTCGCGGTAGTCCAAAAAGCTCAGACAGCCTCGAACGGTTAAAAACAAGTTTATTCCTATTCGGATGGAGGCGGCGGCCGAACTGCCAGGGGAAACGACGGTGGCTTGTTTCCCCGAGCAGGGGAAGGGGAGGAGTCAACATCTGGAAGCAGTTTTAGCAACCGGTCCTTCGCGGGTTCAAAGGCTCGCTCGTGACACAGGGGTGCTTGGAACACAACAAGCTTCAATCAATTGAAGCGTGCTCGAAGTGTGCCTCAACTAGCAAAATAATCCCGTTCATCTTCCTAGCCATGTTCTCTGACAGTAGGGTTGCTGTTTGTCTGCTCAAAACGTAAGTCTATAGCCAATGTGCCCATTGTTGCAAACTTGTGGTACAAATGTCTTAGGTACAGATGTCACTTTCTTAGAAGTTCTAAAATTGTACCCAACTATAGTGGAGCTTTTCTTCCGTTTTTAGTATATTCGTTCCCACATGGAAGCAAAGGAGTGACATACTAGGAAAGAGTGTGCTTACGCCTCAGCTTCGCCTTACTTTGTATTATGCTGTCGTTGTAAAACAGTTCAAGCTCCTGACTATATCTTTTATGGTTTTCAATTGTGAATCTACGAGAATCGCTACAGCAAAGTTTGTTGCACTTGATTTAAATTGCCATCAATGGTGCCAGCTTCAGTCTTGACACATCATTTATTTGCTTGTTATATTCCTAGAATGGCATGCAGAAATGCTGGCAAGTTGTTTAATCATTGGCATTATTTTATTCTTGAAGAGAAAACAGCCAGAAAGTTTCATCTCAAAATGGACAATTGTGCGGTGATTATAACAAAGCTGGTGGAGCATCTGACAACTGTTTGAATTCAGGCTTCTGCATGGCTTTCTGACTGCTGTGCTGTTGTACTGATGGCTTTATCAACACGAGTCGCGATTCAGCTTTCATTTGCATATATTCGTGCATGTATTGTCTTTTAATTCATTAAGTCATCATAATTTTTTGCTTCTTTTAGGGCCATGGCAGTGGGCAAGAGGAGGATTACGAAGGTCGCGTCCAACAGCTTAGTGGACTGAGTACTGCTGGCCTGCTGCAGAATAGCTAGTGGCAACACTGGCTATAAAAGAAAATCTGACTCAGCATGAAGACTTCGCAAGTCACTGAAGTAGTGGCCAAAGGCAAGACATCTATGTTTGTTTCTTAGGGCAGCTTGTGGGTGGACATTCCGAGGGGAGTGTTCTTCAAGAAGAACTGACAGTGTTGAGGCTTCCAAGATCTTTGCTACACCGCTCATGCTGTGCTGGGATTTGAGGTGGAAGACACTGAGAGCCCCTCTGTTGCTGTAAGAGTCATCGGAAGTGGACTCGGGGGAAGTAATCTCACTCCCAGGCCATCATTTTGATCCGAGCCTTTGGAGTGCGTGTGACAAAGTGGTTCTGTAGGTAAACCGATGAGCTACGAAAAGCGCGCACGCCACTTTGTACTTTCCAATCGTGTTCAAACGGGCCGAGTTAAGCGGGAATATGGGGCTATTCTTAGAAACATCTATGCGCCCACACGATAGACGAAAAAACGAAAGGCGAGAAGACATGCGGGTGCGCCCGTTAGTCTTCCCATTTGCACGTAAGGACGAAATTGGGTGCGCACGCAGAAAATTGCATCAAAATGTTGAATCCACATGTGCGTTGAAGAGAGACCAAAATTGAATGGTGAATGAATTTAGACTGATGACTTACTTTTTTAAGAACTGTTGTGTTGCAAATATCATCAGTAGCAAATGTTTATAATAGAAAAGACAATGATCAAAGGTTCGCCCTTAAATTTAGCTCTGAGATCTCTGCATATGAATGTCAGTGTGATGTCATAGACTTTAAAATGTTTCTTCGTATATTGGCCATAGTAGTTTTACGAGGTTTCCTGAAACTTGGTACATTAAGTCTCGGGCCCCCTTATGAGGCAGTGTACTTCATTTTAACTGTTTAAAGACTATGCAGGCATAATAGACGATGTCGAAATCCATGACATCACAGGAAGTTGATGTGAGAACTTCGTACTGACATTGCCAGCTGCATCATCATAGTGCATGTGTTCTTGTTCTCCTTCTGGCAAGAGTTGACTGCGTTTGGTATTGTAAATTTGCTGATTTGAGAAAAGATTGTCCTTCTCTTTTACTGCCCTTCAAGATACTTTTTATATTCTTGTTTTATGAGACTGCGAAAGTTCCTGCTTGTGACGAAACATGCTATTGGGTGGGAACTACTTCGCAAGTTCGCTCATTTGTTGTTTGTCGAGCATCGCCGATGTTTTATGCAACTGTAATACTGAGAACCCGGTTATTTTGTTGCCAACCGCTGCTTTTTTTCCTGGTTGCTTCGTTGTTTTCAGTCAATTCCATCATAGATACCATGGGATTTAATGCATTGGAAACATCGAATCTAAGTCGAAAATTTGGAATCATTCTAGGTCTAGGTAGACCCCGCTCCTATCCCCCCCCCCCTTCCCTTCAAAAAAGTCCGAAGCCAGGAAAATAAACGAAAAAAAACTTGAATGTAGGCCGTATAAAACAGCGAAGACAGTGTTTGCAAAAATAAAACATTTATTGAACATCAATATGAAACAAAGCAGTCGGTTCATGATGCAAATAATTCAAGAAGTGTATACAGTCCTGTTGCCGTGTTTCTTTGTCGTTGTTTATTTAGCACTGCTTCTAGTTATTAGCGACATAAAGATGCCGTGCTTGCCGTTGCCGCGCTCATTCCGAGTCGTCGTCGCTGACTTCTTTGTTGCTGTCTTCAAACAGTGCGTAATTCTCGGTGCCATCAAGCGCATTGGATATTCCACACTTCTTTCCTGGGTTGCCGTCCCACACTGCAGCCCCTCCAGCAACGCAAATTTTCTTGTCTACTCCAAAGTCCCGCTTGTCTCGAACGTTGGACGTTGACTCCCTGGCTAGGGCAACTTTTTTTTTATAAGCGGCAATATAATGACATTGCCTGTATGGGGCCATTGAGCTATGCCCCACACAGACCACTCAAAGCGCGACTCGACACTCGCCACAGAGATCAAAATGGCGGTCTCACGTGTGTACTTGAGCTAGGTGTTGGCTTGGTTACTTATGGCTATAATACCGTTTAGGAGGCGCAAGTTGTGCACCATTTTTCTCAATGAAAAATGGCACGTTTTTCAAATTTTTTGAATTTCAGCGGACCCTGGAGTTTGACAAAGAGAAAGTTGAAAAAAAAAAAAAACTATCGGCCTAGATTCGAATAATTACAGTATGTTGCACATTGCCACTACCAGTTGGCCCAAGTCATGGTGGGTGAAAATTGTAAGGTGTGAAAAGGAGCTTCTGAGAACATTTTCCAAAACATGTTGATGCTGCCATGGGAACTGGGAGTGAGCAGCCATGGTACACAACCTTCGACATATAAATCACCATTACCCTGTGTGGCAGTCCTACATTTTCGGTAAAAACTTTTTTTTCTATTTTGAGTAAGCGTAATTCCTCACATAACAGTTCAAGTGCTCAACATTTCCCACATTTTCTCTCTTTCTTTTTCTGATATGAACTCATCAATTGAGATTTGGTGCTTGATATAAACTTTGTAGATTTAGTATTATCTCATTTTTTGCAGTGGAATTGCACGTGTGTTATGAGATGAAGATAATTAGAGAGAATCATGCTATATTTGGAACATGCTAGCTTGCTTTATTCACGTGCAGAACTTAGTTACAAGAGTCCCATTTCACTGCTACAAATGCAAAGCCAAGCAGTGTGGATTGCAGCTTGAGAGGGAAGGTGGCGATCAAAAAAAACTTTTTGCTTGGTTCTTGTGGCCCATTCACATAGGCATGCACACGAAGCGGCAGAGGGGGGAAACAGCTCCCTCATGGGAGAGGGGCGCCGTGAAGGACTTCGCCCCACCCCCACACGCCCAGGCGCATTCACACTTGAGAAGCCAAGTGAAAACAAAACCCCAGAGAGGTCGAAAAACCACATCCACATGCGTCAAAAACATTCACATTCTTTCTACCCCTCGTACATACTACTGCTCCCACCGCCTTCACCTCATTGAGAATTCATTCCATTTTGCTCGTTTTCTGAGCAATAAATTTCATACCACATTCTAGTTATGCTTGCAAAGCACTATAAAGAAATACCGTAAATACCCGCGTATAATACGAACCCGAATATAATACAGTCGACTCCCGTTAATACGAAGTTCACGAGAACCGCAAAAAACTTCGAATTAAACGAACCTCGAATTAAGCAAAAAGCACTAAAACGGCACTTTTATTAGTTTAAAAGTGCGACAGTTTTGAGGAAAAATAGTCTGTCATCTTCTGCTTGCCGAATCTGGCTGCTAGCAAGTTTTGTAAGGAATACACGTATCGAAGTGCTTCTTCGGCATTGTGTTCTCCAACAAAAAACCGCTGCGCAAGAGCAATACCCGCAGCTACATCGGCAGCCCTCGGTTGGTGGCTCATTTCCGATGTCGTCGTCATCATCGTCATTTTCAGGAATGCAGTCATGGGGCCGAACCATCTGCACGATTTCGCTGTCCGTTAGTGGACCGCATGATTCGACGTTGCTGTCCACAGCGACATACTCGTCAAAACGGACGTCACCGAGAGCGGCGCGAAAGCTACCGTCGTCGAGCTCATTTGTTTGCACTTCCACTGGCGCACAAGAAGAAGCATCCCCCGAGTTTTCCATGTAATCACAGGCCCGGAAACAATTGGCGATGGTTTCTTCTTTCACGCGGGTCCAAGCTCGCGCTAGCATGTTGATGGCACTAAGCAAACTGACCTCGTATTGCGACGAGTTGTCCATGCACAAAAGCATGCACTTGACGAGATGCTGCCTATACAATACCTTCACATTTTTTATTATGCCCTGGTCCATGGGCTGCAACATGGACGTCGTGTTTGCAGGCAGGTACACAAGACGGATGGCACTCAAGGCAGGTACGTTCATGTGGTCCACAAGGAACAACACCTTGCGGCTTGATTGCGCGAACTTGCGGTCGAGTTTGGTGATCCAGTCCTTAAATATATCGAACGTCATCCACGCCTTTCTGTTCGAGGCATAATCCACAGGAAGCGTCTTCACGCCTTTAAAGCACCTAGGCTTGGCAGCCTTCCCGATCACAAGCAGGCGACACCGTTCTGTGCCAGTCATGTTCGCCGCGACTAGCACTGACACTTTCTCTTTGCTTCTTTTGCCTCCAGAACAGTCGTCGTCATTAAATGTCAGGGTCTTGTCCGGTAGCAGCTGATAAAAAAGCGCAGTCTCGTCTGCATTAAAAATGTCTGCCGGCTGGTATTCTTCGAGGTACTCGGGAAGCTTGCCCGCTTTCCATGTCAGGCACGTTTCCTCATCGACAGACGCCTTCTCCCCACACACGCTTTTAAAAATCAAGTCGTGGCGATGTTTGAAACGCGTAAGCCACCCATTCGAAGCAGCGAAGTCGTTGATGCCCAACATTTCAGCAAGCGATGACGCTTTTGCCGTGACGACTTCATCACTGAGAGGAAGTTTGTTGTTTCGTGCCTCTCCGATCCAAATCAGCAGTGCTTCCTCCAACTCGGGGTAGGCGCCGGTGCGCATCCGCTTCGGCGATGTCTTGAATTTTTCACTTTCAAACGCATCCAATATTGAGCGCTTATTCTTTATGAAAGTCGACAGCGTGTTAGGCTTAATGCCGTACTTTCTTGCAATGTCTTGTTTGGCGGTGCCTCCCTGGTCAACTTCCTTCAAGACTTCGACTTTCGTCGCTAGGTCTAGCGTTCGGTAAGGGCCACGAGTTGCCATTATCAAACGTACGTCACTACCACAACACTCAAAATCAGAAGCGCGGAAACACGTGTGGAATCAACCCAGCGCGCGGGTGACGCGGTGACACACTCGAGTCTCGACAAAAGTCAACTAAAGAGTCAGTCGATGCCGCCGATGCGATTCGCCAGCGTTAAAAAGATTGCCGCTTCAAGATCTGTGGCGCTGCGGACAGTAGTGATGGCAAAGACACCAGCGCGGTCCGGCAGATGTTTTGGCATATGAAAAGTTCCCCATTTTACTGTAAAATTACGGTCGCAACAAGACTGTCGATTGAAAAAACTTCTAATTAACCAATATTATGGGTTTTTAACTTCGAATTATCGAGCATTTTTTTCTATATGATTGCATGCAAAACTGATGGGACCACTTGCTCATTTCTAATTAACCAAAACTTCCAATTAAGCGACTTCGAATTACCGGGAGTCGACTGTATAAGGAAAAGTTTCAGAGACGCGAAATAAAAAAAAAAAATTTACCCGCGTATAAAGTGACGTAGGAAAGGTCGCCGAAAGCACATTTATTGATTACACATCCAACATGTCAATCGCTGTCATCGTCCACTGCACTTTTGTCTTCTGTTCCATGGAGGGCATTAGAGATGCCGCACTTCTTGAAGGAATGATGCACAAGGTCCTCTGGGATGCTTGCCCAAGCGTCTACGATCCATTTGCATAGCGTGGCCGGCGATGCCCGTTGCAGTCGCCCGGTTGGCATCACTGCAGGCTCACCTGAGGGCATCCACTCGGCGTAGCAACGCTTAAGCGCATCCTTGAACGGCTTAATTACACAAACGTCAAAAGGTTGCAGTTGAGATGTCATCCCACCAGAGATCACGACCAGTTCCGTGTCGCAGTCGTGCAACAGCCCCTTCACTGAATCAGCCAAATGGCAGCGAAACGCGCCCAGCACCAGAATGGATGGAAAAGACAGCAGGGCGCCAGGCCGTCTGGACCACACGGCCTTTACCCAGTCTAGGACAAGGTCTTCATTCATCCAGCCTTTATCGTGACATCTCACCATGACATTTTTCGGCAGCTTCGCCCCCTTTCGGCACTGTCTTGCGCTTCAACACAACATAAGGTTGGAGCTTGTGGCCGTCCGCCGTGCACGATAACAGGATGCGACATGCGTTTTTTGATCGCCAGTGGTGTGGACGTTTTAAGCCCTTCTCGTGAACTCTAAGGGGTGATGGCATGTCCAGGTACTGTATAAATGTGTGTAAGGGCCGCACTTTTTTTTTTCCTAGAAACGACGACTAATTTTAAGGTGCGGCCCATACACGCGATGTGCAATTTTCTTGAAGCAAAAAAAAAAAAAGAGAGAGAGAGGGAGAACGTACCAGCTACTGAACGAAAAACATTTATTGCAGCATATATCGTCGTCGCTCAACGAGTCGTCAGACTTGGAGTCCGAGATGGCCTGTTGCGGAGCATCGTCCTCCCACAAACAGTCATCCTCGGCACCATCAAAACTGTTTGATGTGCTGGTTACTTTAAAGCTTTGGGATACGACGTCCGTCAACACCGAGCTCCATGCAGACAGTACCCAACTGAGAACAGTAGCAAGCGGTGCCCTCTTCAGCCGTCTGGTCGGCGTCTGCTTGTGGCTGCCACTTGCCATCCATTCAGTGTAGAGACTTCGGAATTCAACTTTAAAAGATTGATTAATGCTGACGCCCAAAGGCTGCATCATTCCAGTGAGGCCTTCCGGAATCGTGGCCCTCTCTGTGCAGACACGGTGCAGCTGCTCCTTCAGCTTATCGGTCAGGTGACCGCGGAAGCTGTCTAGCACTAAAATTGATTGTTTGGTTAACAACGCTCCCGGTCGGTTTTGCCAGACGCACTTCACCCAGCCGAGAACCAACTCATTGTTCATCCAACCCTTTTCTTGGGCTCGAAGAATGATTGCCTCAGGGAAAACTTCGTTCGAAATTCTTTTTTGTTAACACAACGTACAGGGGTTGCTTCCGCCCATCCGCAGTGACACAAAGCATCACAGTGCAGTGTTGGGGCTCCGCTCTGGTGACCCGCACGGTGACGCTCTTTTTGCCCTTTTTTTCCACTGTGTAATTTTCCGAGCAGTCGAATCACGCAGGCGTTTAATCTGCGTTCGCTATTTATGACAGCAGATAATTATGCTCATGGCAAAGGCTGATTACGTACTTGTGGAAACTGAGCACCTTATCGGTGTAGTCTTCTGGCACACGCTGGCACAATGTGGTTCTTCGCAGAAAGGAGAGATTCTTTCTCTTCATGAATCGCGGCACCCAGCCAGCACTAGCCTTGAAAGTCCCGGCCGGTATGTCCTTTGCATGTGCCAAGGCTAGTGCCTTCACGCGCATCTTTGTTGTCAGTGCATATCCGTCATTCCGCACTTCAGTCACGTAGCGGAACAAGTCTTCTTCCAGTTCTGAAAACTTGCACAGCTTTCCTCGGAAAGGGCACTTTTTGCTGTTGGTATTTTGCAGTTCATTCTTTTGCGCGCACCATCGTCGAACGCACTTTTCATCTGCATTGCATTTTCTGCCGGTGGAACGTTTCACGTGCTCGAGAGCAAACTCGACCACCTTTAACTTGTAGCCAGCCGTGTAGCTATTCAAGTGTTTGCCCATCGTGCTACAACATAAACGCTCGGCAGTACACACACGCACGAGTGACAATACGGCATGCACAACTAGACGGCTCAACCAGACAACACTGATAACACCATATTACATGAAGGCGTGAGATTGGTGATGCTAAGTCGATGTGGATAGCGCGTTTGTATAGAAGTGCGAGACGCGAAGGATAAAATCCTGGTTTAACCTTTAGGTAACCGCAGTATAAGCAATAGGTTGAAATACTTAACAAAAATTTAATGAGCACCTTGGCACGAAGAAATTTCAACAAAATATTCTAGTGACGTACTGTTGCTGCCACGGAGGAAGGAAAAAGGTAAGGAGAGGGCATGCCCACCCGGTGCAGGGCGCAGGGCGTAAAAAATGTGGAGGAAATTACGTCACGCGCGGCCATATTCACTAGGCACAGTTTTGTTATTATTGATGTAGTGTGGTGCGGCACCGTTCAGGCTGGTTCAGGCGGTCCAGTGGCGGTGTGCGCGTTTTCATGGGCCTCGCACCTAACCGCGGCGTACTGAAGGTGTTGGACAGCATCCATTTTTTGTGCCGCATTGTTAGCTACACGATTTTCCTCCAGTGGTGGTTGTAACCAGGCGTCTGAACTAGAAACCACGGAACGAGCGCGCGTATATGTACTCTGCATTTGCAGCGTCCGTCAAAATTATGCTGAAAAACCATCATAGAAGATAACGACTGTGCTCAAGAATTCGTTCAATGAATGCCTTGCAGGTTAGTGACAGTTATGCGGTGTTGCTTCTTATGACAACGGACGATGCGTTTGC